AGAAAATATATTTCAGATGAGGCTCAGAGGATTAGTACTGAAGTAGTAGATATTCAGTCAGATTTGACATTTGTGAATGAACCAGAGAAAATCCTTGACCATTAAGTTAAACAGTTGAGGAGCAGAGCGATTCCTTATGTTAAGATGCTTTGGAAGCACAGTTCAGAGAAGGATGCCACCTAGGAGAGAGAGTCAAAAATGAGGGAGAACTACCCTCATTTATTTGGCTAAGGTATGGCTTTACTGTTAAGTTTATCTTTTAAATTTCGAGGATGAAATTTTTATTAGGATAGGAGAATTATAAAACCCGAAAACAACATTATTAGGTCGTCGCGCGCTTTTCAAAGCGCCGCGACAGTTTTAAGTGAAAAATTTAAGGTTGTCGGATTTTAACGGAAATAATTTTAGAAAATCCTACGCAAAATTCTGATCGTTTTGATATGTAACACATATACCTAATTTTGTTTATTTTAAGAATTAAAATTGATTTAGTCCCGAAAATGCCGATTTTACCCCTCATAAGTATTAATGCCGAAATAGATTAAGTAAGGGCAAGAGGGTCAATTACAAAATCTTTTCTCCCTTAATAGCATAAACCGAACCCTCCTCCCTCTTTTATTCACGCGAATCAGCCGAAACCGAGAGGAGAGCCGGACGGGCGGACGGGCGGACGGTGCGGGTTCCACGAGGGTGGCTTCGGCGACAGATCTTCCGACGAAAGATTTAGTCCAAATCGAAGAAGACGACGAAATGAGTGTTCCGGTATGATTATTTTAAAATGAAAAATCTTTAGATTTTTTGAAAAGAGTTTTCTAGGGTTTTATAGATTTTTTTGTTTTTCTTCCAAATTTTGTTATGAAATCAATAGGAAAGATTTAGGGAAGTAATTTAAGGTTAGAAACGAATTTTCTCACTTTAATTTGAGTTTTGTAAGATTAGTATTTTTCCTAATCTTTGATTTTAAGCAAATCTTTTTTACCATTTTTGTTCCTTAGGGTATAAGGAATGCTTTGATAATAAAAATTTTGATTTTTAGAAAATTTTTATTTTTTCTTAATTTCCTAAATATTTTAATCCGAAAATTTAATTTATAATTATAAAAATATGTTGAGGATTAATTTAGAGAAATGTTTTGATGAAATTGAAGATTTATGAATTTTCAAAAATTTAGATTTAATTAAATCCGAAAATAAAGGTTTATTTAATTAAATATCCATTAAGTATCTTACTTAGGGTTTTGTTAAGGGGAAATGAAAGATCAAGACTTAGGAATTTGATTATTGAGTTTTGTAACACGTCTCTTTTATAAATTTCTTAGGTTGTGATTGTTGAAATGTAAGGTGTAAGAACTTGGTCGAAGCGACATACTGTGCTTAAGAGATGTATGTGTTCATACCTCATTTAAGTTTATAGGTGCAAAATTTATTTATGCTTAAAATGAAATTTATGCATTTATTTTACTGTCAAAATGTTTATTTACTGTCAAATATTTTATATTTAAATGATTGAAAGAATATTCTGCGAATTCATATTTCTAGTTTATGCATTATTTAGAAAGCATTTAAAGCATATGAATAACACTTAAGTATTCAAATTTATGAAGCTTATGAAAGATAATTGAGCATAATTGAAAGATATAAAAGCAATAACAATTTCATGTGCATGTTGATCCAGAAGTGCCAAAAATGGTAAAGGAGACTCGTAGAGCCAATAGTAAAGGAAATGGCCAAAAATTTGACTGTATACCTGATCAGTACGAAAACTGGTACTTCCGGGACTGGTGTATACATTTAACATAAGCATTTTTGCATTTACATTGCATATGAAAATGTTGGAAGGAAAGATTGAAATGAATGTAATGTTAAAGAAAGGAAAATGAATATTACATGTTATGACTTGCTCAATGAAATGAATTAGTTCTAATTTTAAAAGTTTTTATTATATGCATCTTATGAAATTAACTGAGCTATGAATTACCTACTGAGCGTTGGCTCATCCTACTTTTGGAAATATTTTTCAGGAGATAATTGATGGCTGCACGGCGACCATACACGTATCGTCGTAGGGAACCTCAGGAAGAAAGGTTCTCTTTTATTATTTCAGTTTGAGTCTTTGAGTTTATTCCTGTAGTTTGTGAGTTTAAGTTTGAGTTTGTATTTGTGTAAGAACAGTGATTTGGAGTTTATGTAATTGTGATTTAAAAGTTTTAGTAGTTTTGTGTGATGAACAATATGAAACTCTCTTTTAGTTTTGATGTTATTAGTGACTCTTTCATGTTGCTGGATGATGTTTGTGTACTACTATTAAGGTCTTTAATGAAGTTATTCATGTTTTACATGCTTTATCTGTACGACTGACTATTCCCGCCCCATTAACTCGGGCTAGCCGGGTCGGGTCGTGGCAGTAGGTGAGTGGAGGCTATAGTTCCGAGAAGAGAGAAGGAGATCTACAATGAAGGGTTGAGGGTTTGGTATTGTGTGGTCTGTGGTAGCGAGATGTGGAGCGAGGAGTAGTAGGTTCGAGAGAGGGATGGCGCCAGCGGATTGTTGGGTCGATTTAAGAGACCAAGAAATGAGGAAAAAGAGCAGCTTGCGACTACTAGTTGGTTTCTCGGGCAAGAGTAGAAGTGTAGAGGTGAGTAAGAAGATAAAGATAAGGATTGGGTCGCATGCAAAGTTAGGGTGATAGGGGCCGGACATAACGCACAACATAATACGAGGCAAAAGGACTTTGGAATTTGATAGGGCATGATTTCTTTTTTTATAGTTTAATTATGTAATAATAAAATAAAATTACAACAGTTCAAAGAATGAATTTACTTTACATGTCTCTTTTTTATATCTCGAAAGATGTATCGTCGCCTTACACGCGTGCAAATTTTATATTTTGCGTGTGTGGTGTATAGGCTAATACCAGTATCTTTTATAGGTAATTTCATCTTTTCGGATAATTGGCGCAGCGTGTTTTGCAAACAGCAACATTTAGCAACTTATGTTGCAGTCAAGGCATTTCGAATGCGGTTCGCCTGATGTTGCATCCCTTACTCATCATCTTCGTAGAGATTGATCAAATTGATCGTGAGAGGTGTTTCTTTAGTGATTTTGATGCTCTAAATACGTCATCGTTGTCCATTTCCCAAACAAACTTCGTTTGAGCTACTTCAATTGTGTTCAAGGCATTTCAAACTCAATTTGCCTGGCATTGTCTGTAGTTCGCAATATTTATTGTGTTGATTCAAAACAATTGCAAGGGTTCTCTCTTAGTAATTTTAGTGCTTTGAACACATTGGCACGATCCGTTATGTGAATGGGCGATGTTCGAGTGATTTTGATTGCGGTCAAATCATTTCAAACTAAATTTACTTGACAGCTACCGTTCTCATCATATAGAGGTTAACAAGGATGAATGCTTAAAAGAAGATTGATGTTGAAGGGGAAGGACACTTGTTTAATCAATTTTTTAAATAGAAAATTTAGGCATCATTTTATTTTGAACAAATATCTTCTTTTAAGCATTTGGCCCTTACCTTGGTATAAATTGTATTATAATATCTTTACACCATTCTTTCTATTGATCAAGTTGCTAGATTTCAAAAGTTTGTACCTTGCTGACAATTAGTAGTTCCTACATACCAAACATGGCTTCTTAATAAATGCTCAGAGCAAACCTATTATGGAATAATTTATAAGAGCTTCACATAAGCCACTTCACATAATGTGTTAAATGTCATCCTTCTAATGTATCTTGACTCAGTATGATGGCCCCAAAGTGATGTTCTTAAAAGTGAAAATTTCTACTTAATAGATATGCCTAGATGAGATATTTTTTGAAAGAGAATTGAATGAGTATATCACAAATAGAATTTGGGTAGAATGAGTTTTAAAATCTATAAATTTGGTTTGAGATGAGTGTTATACATTAGGTAATTGATTCTTCTTGTATTGCATTTATCTCAAAATAAATCTAAAAATTTTAGAACTTGTGACCATGTTTATCCGGGATATTTCCTAATCCAATTCTTTGTCTTATTGGTAACATGGTGCAACTAGTCCATATTTGGAAAAAAAAACAACCTCCATTATGTCACCTTCACCATAGCCACCACCGTCGTAGTCACCTTCAAGGATCACTTGAAAACCACACACCATCGCCACCTCCTTTTAAAAATTTTGGAGTATTAATCTTATCTTTATATTGATGAAAAACATTTATGAAAGAGAAAGACGATTGAAATAAATGAAGAATAAGCATATTGGAGATATTGGAGTCCACAGGATGAGACAGGGGAGAGACCAATTTGTTTTAATGACAACTCAAATAAAGATTCCATCAGTGATGACAGTACATATGGTTTTCTAGTTTTTGTCAACTATTTCATCCTTTTTTAGAAATTAAATTTAGATGAGTAGGAAATTGAGAAAGAAAGAATTTGGAGTTTAACTTAATGTTATATGATACTTTTAAGCTGTTTCTATATTTAATATTTTTTTGCTTACGTAATATTTGTATTTCAATTATATTTCATGCAATTTATCACTAGCCATTTTACGTCTTGTATAATTTTTATTTAATATGTATGTCAATGTATTACTTCATAATTCAATAGAAAGATAATAGATCATCTTTTAACATATTATTTGGGTATGATATAAAAAATCACCTTTAACTTTTATTTGCACTTTATGCAATTTTTTTATTTTGATGTCTTTAGGCTTACGCCTCGCCTCACGAACAAAAAATGCCTCAATACCCAATTGCGTTATTTTAAACATTGCTCATGATTTCCTAACTAAAATTTGGGCCATTATGTGTCACAAAGCCATTAAATTTACTTTGAGATAAATACAAATGTAAATTTTGATTGATTTCTCATATATGATACATATCTCAAAGCAAATCGAATGACTTTTAGACCCATCTTAAGCTAAAACTTTTTCTCTAAATCTGTCTTTCACATGCAATGGATCATTGCCATTATCTGAATTTTATACTTGCAACAGGTGGTTATGATTGATGGCCGTGTTGTTGGAAATGGCGAAGCAGGATCTGTAACGAGAAGAATCCAAAATGCTTACAGAACCCTCACTGCAGAATCAGGAGAGCCAATTCCTCTAAATTCAGGTTCGTAATACAGATTCACTTCTACATAAAATGACATGAGAACATAGCTGGGATTTCCATAATACTCATGAAATTAACGATTCAATTGCATTCTTGCTGGATTCTATGTTGTTTCAGCTTTCCACAAAATAATGTAAATGCTTCAACATTTACCTGATGATATTTTTTTGATGGATTTTCTCTTATATCAGTTTTACTTATTTAGGAGCTTAATCAAATTACTACATCACTCCTACTCTATGAACTATGCTGGTTAGGCTGCTTCTTTCTCCATTTTGTCCAATACTATCATTGCTGATGCATGATCTACTGCAACCTTCCTTGCGATGGACCTTTTATGTAGTTTATTATTCTTAAGAGCATCTCCAACCGAATGTCAAACATATGTATGGCGTCGTTCGGTCGCTTCAGCTAAACGTCAAATCTTCTTATATTTGCTTGCTAGTGAACAGTGCGACGACAATATCGTCGTTGCACTGTTCACCTACGCGATTTTTCTATCTCTACCGGATTTGATGAAGAAATGCGCGAAAGAGGTGAAAGACGGTTACCTTCTGCGAATGGCGCAAAATGGAGTTTGAATGGAGATGAATCACGACATTTTTTAGTTTCATTGCATTTTGGAGTGAAAATTGAGATTTTCGGTTGGAGATGCCCTTAAAGAGCACAACAGGCTCTTTAAAGGAGCCTTCTACCTGGTGTCCCTCCACTAGGACATACCCTCCATATTTACCATCATTTATTTTATTTGTTTGCAAACTAGAGATATAATCATGATTACCCTTCTCATACAAAGGTGAGTATAGTTGGTTATCTTCATTAACTATCCAAATTTGCTCCTAATTAGGTCACACAAGCTGGCTGAAGGGCCATATTATTGCTGATGTCTAAGGCTTCGTTTGGGATGGCTTTTTTACTGTTGCTTAAAGTAATTTTTTAATTCAAAAAACTTAATTTTTATAGTAAAAAAATGTTTTAAGAAGCATAAGAAAACCATCTCAAACGAAGCTCAAATATAGCGGCCAGGATAAAGCTGATTTATTTGGGATGATTATAGTTTTTTATAAAGTTGATTATGAATTTGTTGTAGCAAAAGCTGCTTAACTATTCTGGTTGTAAAATAATTTTTCTTCACATAAATTTATAAAAAAAAAATATGAAAAAGTAGCAAAAAAGTGAGTCATGAAATTTAGTTGTGTGAAAAAATAAAACAATATAATATAAGTTTTTATTTTGCTCGATATATATATTTTTAATGATTCCCTAATATTTTTTGTATTATTACTTATTATTTCTCAATATAATTAAATAATTAGATAATATATTTAAATTGTTATAGAAATAATTAAGCCAAATCTTACTTAAATCTGCCTAAAAGAGGATACCGAGCAACTTCTAAATCTATTTCTACACAATAGTTCATCATTGCATCTTCCAACTGTTTCTTTAGGATCTATTGAAGATGTACTTTAAGATTGAAATTACAGGTCATAATTCTGAACATCAAAGCATACTGTAGGCAATTAAAAAAAACTGAAGGGTCCACACATGTTAATTAATGCTTAATCATTGTAATTTGCCTCTTAAACCAGTAATTATTAGCACCAATATCTTATTAAAACTGACATTTTATCTTTCAAAATACTATTGTTGATTCCACAAGCAGATTATTTCTGCTTTGTTTGAGATTGCCTTTTTACCACTTTTAAAATTATTTTTACCACTTCATATATAATTTATTTATGAAGAAATATAACATGAATAGTTAGATATGTAAATTAATTAATTTTTTTATTAATGATTAAACTTCTCCAAACAAGTTAAATATTTTTTAATGAATAGTGCCAATTTTTTTATTGAAGTGTCTAAATTGTTCATTTTGTCAATGTTTGGTACTCAATAGTTTAATCATTTGATGATGACTTTCAAATCAATCTCTTTTGCTTATAATTGAATATATATAATCCTTCAACTAGAGAGAGACTAGAGAGAGTTAATATTAATAAATAATAATAATATATTTTTTAGGCTTTTTCTTTTTCATTACTGAGTAAATGTTTTAGGCTTCATTTGGAATAATTTTGTTTAAAAAAAAATTTATACAACAATTTTAAAAAATTATTTTCTTTGCATTAGTTTTACAAAGTAGTAAAAAACGGTCTCAAAAAAAGCCTTATCATCACAACTTCAAACATATGATCTCTAAAAAAAGAGAATTCTCTAATTACTAGAGTAATTAGGCAATCATTTCAAATTTCTCTGCCTAAGTTTTTGTATTAAAAAAATTAATTCCTTAACGTATTTATATGATTGATTTTTCAAATAATATTATATTTCAAAATCATGTTCAAATATAAAGCATAACTTTTAAAAATCTATAGCTCAATGATTAGAAAAAAAAAGTTTATTTTTTAATTATATTTTAAATTATATATTTTTAAAAAATTTCTTTTATTTTTTAATATATACATATATATATGGTTTGAGACCATCTTCAATCAAAAAACTTATTTTTCCACTTCAAGATGCAATAATATTTTAAAATACAATAATTCATTTCCTATCAAACTTTAATTATAAACATCAAAAAAAAGTATTTCATATATATTCTTTCTCAGCCAAACTCTATGTGCTCTGCCTCCGCTTCCTCAGTTTTCGTAAAAAAAAATGCGTGTGTCGCACTGTTCATGATAATGAGAATAGAGCGAGTTTTGTTGTTCGATTGAAGCAATTTTGTGGATGCCAAACACAAATATAGAGTTCAGTTGGAGATGGCCTTTACAAGAGTCAACGGTTGTCATTATAAAAGTCATCAAACAAAGCAATCACCTTCACAAAAAAATTATTTTGTGCAGACTTTAATGACGTCCGATAATCAATCAGAATGCGCCACGTTATTTTTTTTATTTTTATTGTTTGCTAAATATAATTAAAAACCCCCACTCGATCGTGCACAAAATAATCTCCACTTTCACGAGAGATTATTGGATTCGGACACCGGATGACATTTGGAGTCCAATAAAAATGTGTCACATCACCTCTTACTCTGAGCTCTAAAATATCGAATTTAGTATTACTTGATACTCTTAAGTACCGAACATTAACCTATAATCTCTCCCACTTTTACGGTTTCTTTTCAAATATCCTCATCGTCTTCCCACTCGACGACCATTCACACATGCCTTTTCATTAATCCTCACCTTTGCTATTTCCACTCCATAGCTTCGCCATGGACAGACTGGTGAAGGTGGAGGCGACCGAGCTGGAGCTCAATTTCCGGCCACTAGAGCGGTGCTCGGCGGCCATCAAAGTCACCAGCCTTATTCACACGATGCCGGTCGCCGTCAAACTCACGACGACCCGTCCTACGGTTTACTCCTTTTCGCCGGACTTCGTCGCCCTTCTCCAGCCTCTCTCTTCTGCTGTCTTCACCCTCGTCCTTCTTCCCACTGCTTCGCCGCCCTTCGCTGCCCCGCCGGACTTCGTTCTTGTTTCCACTCTCCTCGCCCCCGCTCTCCGCCGCGCTAATTCTGCTTCACTCCGCCGCTTCTTCTCGCAGCCCGCTCTCCCCATCTTCCGCGACGGCTCCCTTCCTGTCCATCTCATTGGCCCTCACGCGCTCCGATCACTCCTCCTTGATTCCGGTTTCTTGCAAGACATGCTTCTCCCACGCATCATCAAGTCCTGTTCTTTACCTGAGCTCTCCGCCGCCCTTCCCTTCGCGAACGGGAACGCTATATCCGCTCTACTTGACGCCGGAGCTGACCCCAACGCCGTCGACGAAGGCGGGAAGTCCGTCATATCGCTCGCAGTCTCCGCCGGAAGCGCGGACGCCGTGGAGGCCTTACTCGAAGCCGGCGCTTCCGATCGTCCATTCCACGAGGCCGCCGGAGAGAACCGGACGGATCTCATGGCCGTCCTCCTCGCCTGGTCCGGATCTGATCCGTGGTTCGACCGGGTCGACGCCTATGGCCGGACGCCTGTCCACTGCGCGGCGGAGAGAGGGGCCCTCGACGCCCTCCACCTCTCTCTCACCTCCGGCGGCGATCCCCACCGGACGGATTCGAGCGGGCGGACTCCACTCCACTACTCCGCCGCAGGCGGACACTTTAACGCCGCTGAGCTTATCATGAATTCCTCTGATTTTGACCTAAGGCGCACTCTGACAAGAGAAGGAAAGGGGAGAAGGAAGAGGACGCCATTTGATCTGGCGGTGGAGAAAGGGCACGCTCATCTGTACGATCTTCTCCGGCCAGGAGGTGAGGTGATCCGAGCGGCGCGGTGTGGCAGCCCTGAGGATACGGCGGCGGCGGCGGCGGCGGGTAAGGCGGCGGAGAGAGACCAGAACGGTTGGACGGCACTACACGTGGCAGCTTTAAAGGGCCGAGCGGAGATCGTGAGGGAGTTGATTAACGGCGGGGCTGAGCTGGAGGCGGTGGATGATTCCGGCTACACTCCGTTGCGGTGCGCCGTGGAAGCCGGACACACCGAGGTGGCGCTCTTGCTTGTCCGCAACGGTGCCCGCGCTGGGCTCAAGGGCCTTGTCAAATCCAAATATGCCGCCGCCACCGCCTCCTCCATCTGCGGCGGCCATAAACCAGTGTGGGAGTCCTGTGCGGCGGCGGTTTCTTCTGCCATTCTCAAGTATGAAAATCATTTTAGTTTCAAAAAACAGAGCTTTGGATCTGACAATTTTGTACATGAATTGAAAGGGAGGATTTTCGATTTGAAGTTTGATAACTGAAAAAAAAAAAGATTTTTTTTTTATTTATGTATAAAAGATGAGAGGAGGAATCACACCCAATGTTAGATTGTATCGATGACTATAAGGTGTTTTAGATGAACTAAAATCACTTAAAGCACTTCATTTTAAGAAAATCTTATGGTTTCTCATAAGATTGTTCCATAGATGTGTTACCATATTCAAATTTTGTCTCAAATTTATGCATATTTGTATGCAAAATCTCGAACTCGATATCTCTTGATTGATAGTTTAAGTTTATGACTAACATAGAAGTTTTGTAAGATTTGATTTAAAGGAGAACACGATAGCTTAAAGCACCAACGTGATGCAAGCCTATATTTGCCAAAAATGTAGCAACTTAAAAATTCTCGGTATGAGAAGAATGACATGCATAGGTCTTCAACCTGCCAATGTCCAAAAAAGCGGGCATAGGTCTTCCACCACATTTAAAAAGGTTCGTATATCTTCGCCTAAAAGTGTTATATAAAAGAATAACACCATACTTAAAGTAGTGCTTCCACACAATCTTATAATAATAATGATAATGATGATGATGATGATGATAATGTTGAGCTCTTTTTTATATGGAAAAAATGCAAATACAAACTTTGATAATAGTCAACCTTAAACGATATAAAAAAAGTAAAATAAGAGAAAAAATTTAGTTTTAGAAAATTATTCTTAAATATCCTCAAGACTAAAAATATTTTTACAACACTCTTTTACTCTTGATCAATTCAAAATTTTAGAATATTTCCTTTCATTTTCTTCATTATTTATGAATTATTATTATTATTATATTGACAACAAATATGAGATTCCTTAGCAAGTGTAGCTTTATTTATCTCATCAAATAATAGATTATTTTATCAAGACTTGCATCATTATGAAGTCAATTCAATTATTTGATTTCTAAAGCTTGGCTGAAAGTTCAATCTAATTAGTAAGCTTCATGACATAGCTTAATTGCTAGGTATTAATAAATGAAGTCAATCAACAATATTAATCTACTAGTCAAGAAAAAAATATCTATATTTAGTGGTCATACAAGTCAATGGCTTGTTGAGAATTTTGTTCTCATAGATACCTGCTAATATTAACAAAAGTTGCGTAAGGAGATTCAGAAGTATTTTATTTTACGTTAACATGGGCTTCAAAACCGTTGAATTTTACCAAGATTAGTGCTAGTATGGTATCCGAGGGTTGCATGAATCTCAATGCAAATCCATAGATTTTGAATTTTATCCTAACATGAAAATGTATTAGAATAACTCGAGTGATTTTTTTTTTTTAAGTTTTATTTTTTAATTAAAAATAAATTTAAAGGTTTTTGGAGAGATAAAATTGGTGAGTCAAGTAATAGTGGTTGATGGGACACATCTCAAATTAAAGATGATGATATGATTTTAGTTGAATTCAATATATTCTACAAATTGCATTTAAAGTCATAATATAATGTAATTATAAATATAAATATAATATTATTTATGTTGTGTGTTCGAACATTCATTGTTGTAAAAGAGAGAGTTTATCATATTAAAATGATATAAGATCTCGTGTGCGCATATATAAGATAAGTTGAGAGTAGCTCATAAGAGACTTGAAACTTTTTAAGTGAAAAATTCAAAAAGGGAAACTTTAAAATAATTATAGTGGTGTGGGTTGTAGGTTACAAAGAATATGGTTCCACATAATTGGAGAAAGCTTTGACATAATATAGTATATATGAGTTTGGAAAATGACTCTCTCAGTGGCATTAAGAGGAGCCTTGGAATGTTAGAAGTATCTTTTTCGGTCCACTCGACCATTCACCTTATAGGAGGGAAGACTAGCGACCGTGAAGATGAGCATATGAATTGGTCGATACAACAAGCATCGGTGTTGATGTTGATGGATGGTATCAACCTTGTTAGTAACAACATACGTCAAAATTATTGTTATGGCGAGTGTAAAGGTCGTTGCCCACCATTGTTGTTGATATTATTGAAGATGGCAATGATCCACATTGTTGGAGGCGACATAAATCAATATTATTTGTAATTGTGGGCAAAGAAAGTACGTGAATGATGGTATGTGTATATACTAATATTATTTGTAATCAATATTAATATCCTCAAGAATATGGATGAGGGGTGTAAATAAGTTTAGTCGAGCTCGAGTCACCTCTAGCTTGAGTTTAAACTTAATTAAATGATCGAGTTTGAGCTTAAGATCGCAGTTAATTTTATGAGTTTTAGTCAGCTGACGAGCTGACTCATCTATTATAAAAGAGATAAAACGATTATGATTTAAGAAATTATGATAAAAAGAATAAGAAATTATAATAGAAATGATAAATAATCAATTGATATAAGAAAGTGTGCTAGAATTTTTAAATATTTTTAATAGTTTTATACTAAAACTTATAAATTATAATATATTTTTAGTATATTTCACATTAATATTTTTTAAAGGATTTATGTCGTGATTATTCGACAAATTTTACGCTAGCTGTCGACTACCTAACGCAACCCTTCACTTTTCTCATCCATGATTTGGCACCTGGCAACGACAGTATTAAAACAGTTTTATTATGGCTGCTGAGATTTCAAGTTGAAGGTAAACTTGAATCTTGGAAGTCAACCTTAAAGCATAAAGGTTTTCACTTGAGTAGATCTAAAACTGAATATATGGAGTGTAAGTTTAGTAGCAATATATCTAGTAAGGGGATTGTGACTTTGGGCGATCAAGTTATTAATAAAAGTACATGTTTTAGATATCTTGAATCTATTGTTCAGAGTGATAGTGAAATAGATGGGGATATTATCAGCAGAATTCAAGTTGGTTGGTTGAAGGGGAGGAATGCATCGGGCTTGTTGTGCGATAGAAAGTCCCCCTCAAAACTTAAGGGAAAACCTTATAAGATAGTGGTGAGACCTGCAATGCTTTATGGTGCTGAATGTTGGACATTAAAAGAGAAGCATAATACTAAGTTAAGCGTTGCAGAGATGGGAATGCTTAGGTGGATGAGTGACTTTACCATTAGAGATAAGATTCGAAATGAGCATATACATGAAAAGGTTGGAGTAGCTCCAATGAAAAATAAGATTAGAGAGAGTCGGCTTAGATGGTTTGGTCACATTAAACATAGGTCTTCTGATGACTCGGTTACGAAAGTTGAGGTATTCAATTTGACTTATATTAAAAAAGGTAGATGTAGATCTAAAAAGACTTTGTTAGAAAATATTATAAATGATATTTCTTTATTAGATTTAAATGAGAATTTGACTTTTAACAGGACACAATGGCGAAAAAGGATTCAAGTAGCCGACCCCACGTAGTAGGACAAAGGCTTGATGTTGTTGTTGTTGGTGTACATTAATATTTTTTTAAACGAGTTCGTTCACAATCTAACAAAAGTCGAAGCTAGATCAAACTTGCCCTAGTAGTTCTTCGAGCTTGATTTGCGAACCATTCATTGAGATGAGCTCGAGTAGGCTTACGATTTGACTTGACTCACTTACACCATTAGGAAAATAACATTTCTCTATTATAAATTTCTTGGTAGTATGTATGCTTTGAATTCCGTACTTGTTGGTCGACATTTAGGTGATGAGTACTTCATTAATATTGTGGCGGGTATTAAGAACCAGCTTGCTATTGAATTGGATGATGCTTAACTTTGCTCCTTATACTGCCATAGAGAGTAGCAATGGTAAGTCTCATATAGGAAAGAATGTCATGACATACCTAACCATCCATCTATTTTGGCCTACTTGCCTGTCTTCTACCTATCAAAATAAGCCAACTTTCAAAGCTGTTAATAATGAACACAAGTTTTGTGGAAAGCTCAATCTTATAAATTATGATTTGATTATGCTCATTATTATTAGATTTATCTTATGATATATTATTATGTTGTCCTAAAGTAGTATATGTGTGACTTAGAAGGATAATATACGTTTAATAAATTATGTGACTTACTTGCTTTTGATAGAATAATAAGTCAAACTTCTTATATAGATACTCTTAAATAAAATCGTGTCACTGATAAGGATTTACACCTGGTCACCAACTATCGTCAGTCCTTCCGACTACTGTTGCCTGACTACGGTCTTTTTGACCATCGTCATCGGCTGACTACGGTCCTTTCGACCTCTGTCACCAGATAATGAGCTTTTTTACTACTATCACCTGTGGACTATGGTCCTTTCTACCTTTGTCTCAGACAACGGTTTTTCTGACCACTATCGCCCGCCGACTATGGTCCTTCCGACCTCAATCGCCGACTATGGTCCTTCCGACCTCAATCGCTAGACTACGGTCATTTCGACCTCTGTCACCAGATTACGGTCATTCCAACCTCCGTCGCTAGACAACGGTCTTTCTGACCAATGTCGCCCGCCGACTATGGTCCTTCCAACCTTCGTCGCCAGACTATGGTCCTTTTGACCTCCGTCGCCAGATAACGGTCTTTCAGACCTCTGTTATCCACCGACTACAGTTCTTTCGACCACCATCACCTAACTATGAGCTTTCTGACCTCTGTCACTCGCCGACTATGGTCATGTTGACCAAACAAACATGTCAATATTGATTCTTTCAATTCCCACCAAGTAATGCACTCTATATGATGTATATTTGCAATGCCTTCCCCTCCAAGGAAGAACCTCATTTTAATCGACTGCAAAGAATAGTAGATTCATTCAAACTGGCCAAGCACTGTGATTTTTCTCCCTTTTTAAGGGTTTCCACATAAAAGGTCTAGTGCCTCTTATGAACACTAGTCCATCTCGTTTATGTGATTGTGTACTAGATTTTTGCACAAAACTAAGACATTAAACTTTATATTTCTCCATCGCCACGAATATTTCAAGACGCACGACACTATAATTTTAGCTTTCTAATTGATTGCATAGCTTTGTATCCCTATATTCATATTCACCTTATTTCCAATTAATGATCTCATCATTAGAAGCGTTTATTATCAAAAGCAGTCAATCAGGCATTCCAATGGCCCTTTTTCAGTTCTATGAATGATCTGAACTTCAATAATTTCCATCATTTATCTTTTCTTTTGTATCTTTTTATCATTCTTATAAAGACTTCATGTGGGAGAGTTTTTTCGCTGTTTTCTAAAAAAAAATTTAATACA